TGCAAATGTTTGAATAACAAGAAGCCGTGGCCTACTTTTCCGGTCCCATAAGCAATTAGAAACAAAAGAGGGCGGTCGATTACTCCTTACTATTCCAGGAATGTTACAGGAGATTATCATTCTTGCCTACGGCATCGAAAACTGCTAGTAAACTCATGACACGTGGTTGATTTGTATTAAGCATGAAATTAATTTATTATACATTACATACGCTGAGTTTAAAGCTTATGCACTAATATCAAGTCATTATCATTTGTCATTAGGACAAAAGGAAACGTTTTGAGAAATCAGTTATCAAAGCATGAACCTACTTGATTAGTTCCGGGTAAGAGGCAATTTTTTCGATCAGCTCAATGGCAAGCGCTCTTTGCCAGAGTAACTTTTCTTCGTCCAAAAACCTGATCAGCAATGAAAGGAAAATTTCGCATTCAGTCGTCAACACAACGTAATAACGGGTGATCAGGAGACCCATCAGTCGCAGGAGACGAAGCGTGACCGGAAAATACGGCTTGTCTGAAACCACCTCTGGCGGAGGATGAGCGTACATTTGATGCTGTTGACCGGCTGAATGTTTCATGTTCGAAAACAATCTGATCAACATGGGACACACTTGGTCTTTGATCAGGAATGTAAATTCGGGGCGCTGTCAAAATGGATCTTTTAATATTTAAAATTAGCAGTCCACCACAAAACAAATCGTCACCTTCAGAAATTCGGTGCTACTTTGAACAAGAATCATTTCCAAAATGTCTAGTCCCAATGTACGGGTCATTTCCGTTATGTTTTTTAACCAAAACGGAGGTTCACCATTGATCAGTCTGCATAGATCCTAAAATTGAAGCATGGTCGTAATGACTAATGATCCTTATGAACTACATAAAGAGAACGTCATTCCTGCCAACGACTAAATTCCGACCTCCTTCGATCGAAACAAAGTATCTAATAACTTGAAAAAGTGAAACGTTCGAACTGCGTATCAAAATTGCAAATAGAAACGAAAGCACGAGTTCACTTATAAACTTTTATTCACATGTCGAAGCATAAAATTCGATTTGATTAGTTCTAAACTGCAGCAATCAATAAACCCTGTGATGAGATTTCATGTTCAACGTTCATCATGTATTTCTTGTGTCAGAAAATCATTTAAAACAAGGCAACCATTTTCATTCTTCTTCTCTACATTCACATTCATACGTTAGTCGCACCGTTCTCTTGTTTCTGCTAGCCTAGGATCTGATTAAGCAGGTGATATCAGTTTGGCACCTGCAGTGCATGGGTGCAAAACCACACCAGGTTTAACAAAAACCTGACTGACAATTAACGAATATACCTCAATCCACAGGCATGTACGACAGAAATATGTGAATATGCAGAAGTGACAGGAACCAGTTATTTTTATCTGCTGCATTGAAAACTAGCAGTTTGACATGAAACCCCAGAGTTGCTATTCTAATATATGCCCATCGAATCAGCTACCCTTATCGTAAACCGTTTTTTACAGTAGAAATATTTGTTTATGTCGCTGAATATTCTTTCTATTTTTCGAATATCAAATAAAACAAGATTTGTAACTAAGGCTTGGTAATCTTTCATAAATCAAAATGAGAACTAACTAAACGAAATGCACAACAAAATTACTAATAGTTAATTACAACCCTTTTTCAGATATCGTACCTGAAACAGCATAATAGCGTCGCTAACGAATGGACTGACTGCCTGAGGTGGCCTGGCTCGGTTAATTTTAAGCTCTGCAATACATTCTTCGGCATCTGAGCAAAACGAGTATGTGAAACATTACAATCCACCAGATATTATTTGTAATGCATTCCTTGCCTCTCGGCTTCTCAAGCCTCAATCGCTCGAACACTTGACAAACAAGCTGTCGCACTGTTGCTGACGCTGTGTTAACCACCGTTGGGTCTTTCGTGAAGTTCAGACGAAAACATATGACGAGACACTAAAAGAGGTACAAACGACTTACCAAACCAGTAACAACTGAAGCGATTAAAGAAAATTTTTAAAAAAAATTAAACCAGTCAACTGTTGTAATTTTTACTGATCCTGAATCTAAGCAATAATAAGACGGTTTGTTCTTGATAGGCAAATTAACATAAATCCGATTTTAAAAAAGTGGGAGCGTTACCGACGCTTTCACAAGGTATATTGAAATATATAAGGCATATAGATATATGGCGATATACTACATGTGGGATCATATGATAATGATCTCAATGGATGGCCCCCTGGTCAGATGTCAGCCTCATAAAATGCTGACAAATGGCACTGGTACTCGGGAAACCTAAATAGCAGTAATGCCAGTCTTTTGATACACTCTGCAATACACGCTTGAACCAGTTTCTAACATCGTCAGAGCTAGGCCAGGAACGTGCGGAACAGAGATCTGAAGGCCTTTCAAGGCAATAGGAGAATTAACTGTCACGTTCAAAGTCCGAAGATTCCAAAACTGCAAAAATGACATTTCAATTTAGTTGAACTTTTTTGTTGTTTCATTACTTTACACAGAACCGCATTGTTCCATCTCAGTTACTCTGGTAGCTAATAGAGGTCGTACCCCTATAGGAGCTGAAGGTCTACAACACTCATCGGGACAGATGTATCAATGATCGCAGCTATATGCAAATATAAGAATATAGGTAACACTAATATACCATGTGACAATGATAATGCAACAAATGTTATATAGGGAATTATATATTAAACGTAAGCTGCATTTTGCTGCTTTATTTTTTGCTTCAAGAACAATGGTGATAATTCGTCTACGCAAGAAATGCAGCAATCATGATAATGATGATGTTGTGGAAAAGGGCTGGACCGCTTACTATGAGACACAATTACTAACATAGGTAGCGCGACATGGTGAACGCAGCATTAAGTCTGCAGTGCTTTAAAGCACAAGAAATATTCCATATTTTGATCTATCAAGTCATCCGTACCAACAAGAACAGTGAGGACCCCTGCTGCTCGGTTGAAACAAATTGGTTTTGTATTATTAAAATTTCATTTTATACAAAAGTGAATATTTTGTATGAGTAGGAACCTGAAACGGCTAATCGTTAGGATAAAACCCCATGTGTATTTAATGCTCACCTTTGATTCATTATATGAAGACCTACTTTCTTACCTTTGCAAGTGCCTCACCCCTGACGACACGTTCGGGCGATATGAGCAGAGCAACGGTCTGAAGAATGCGCAGCTCCTCGATTTCGCTCTCCATTAAACTCCACAACTCGTCGACCAACTGAACGGATGCCACCTCATTTAAGGCATGGAAAGAAACCAGACGGTGCAGGCCCGACAAACTGATCTGCACGAGACGCGGCTGCTTCGACTCGCAGCCAAGCAAGAATGGCAGGATAATATCTTTGCTTCCGGCAGCAACACCTTAAATACAATTTAAATGAAATCACATCATGATAGCGGGAACACTTACATTCTAGAAGGGACCCTCGTAAAGACTGCGATCCACTTGTCAGATTGCGCAACATCGTCATGCTGGACTCAGCCGACTGTAACAGCGTCGTACAATACGAGCACAACGAAAAAATGAGTATAAAAGGTCTAAGCTTACGCCCTTAATATTTGGACACTTCTTTTTAGTCTCGCTGCATAGCGCCCGCAAATCACCCTGCAGGTTCTCCACCAGCTTCTTCGCCAATGTATTATCAGCATCATCTGCCATTTAGTAACAGGGCATACGCAAAAGCCTAAACTATTTTCACTTGTTACAAAGAATCAAATATCTGGTCAGCACCAGCTCAGATACACAACCCTGAGTAGCAGAAAAAATGGCGAGGAAGAATACAGCTAACATCTTCAGTCTATTAACAGAAATTAACGTAGATCAATCGCCTTCTGGATCCAAATATATGCTGCTACTTTTACGAAAACCATCGGCACCGCAAAGCCAAGAAAGCGTTTCCACCCATAGTTTGCCCGTTATTTACAGGCCAGACACCATATGCTGTCGACATGCCATCTTTCAAAACACCATGCATAATTTCCTTCATTTTACCATTAGTAAGTGCCATTAAACTGACACAAAATCCAACAAAGAATCGCTTTCGAAGCACAACAGTCAAGTCATTCTTAGTGTCTTCATCAGATAATGGTTTGCAAGAATGACGAAATCAGAGGCAGCTAACAGGAACACTTGGCTAGGGAATACCTGACAGCAAATACTGTGACTACGACAGTGGGATCTAACGTGTAACAATGACTCTAGAACCGCCTACTGGAAAGCTTCACATCCAAGTGCAAGATGGCTGACATGTGCATGAATTTATCTAAAACCGAAAGCCTAGTGCCTTCTCGTTCTCTTGCTGGCTGCGTTCTGAAGAAGAACGAAGAAACAGTGGAGCAGATGGAGAATTCACGTACCTCGGGAGAATGTTCAGCGACGATGGAAAATGAAAGATCCATCGATGGATTAGAATGGTCAGCGGCGTGCTGCGTGAATTAGCCCGAATGGTTGAGACTAAAACGTAGCTGAGCCTGAACACTACGCTCACAGTGTTCAAGTCGATTTTCATCACAATGCTCATCTACGTTCAAGAGTCATGGTCCATGGACAAACCTCGATTCCGGATACAAGCAGTTCAAATGGGCTTTCTGGGATAAATCGCTGGGCCAACACATCTCGACAGGATCTACAGTTTAGATATCTGCGTGCCATGGGGTACGGCAGTAGCTTCTTCAGACTAAGTCAATGCTGCCATGGTTTTGAAGTTGATCGAACGATTCTATAAATGACGGCGAAAGAGCTACTACTTGCTCAACCGACCCGCCGAAAACCACGGGGGACGAGAGGTGGGTCGTCTTCCACCGAGGCTGAAACCTTCGTAGTGTGTCAAACTGGCTGCACTTCAACACAAGCATAGGATGGCGATTGCATCTTTTTGAACTTCTTCATATGCCCACGATTGTCATGGCTCGTTCACCTATATGAAAACGGTTTAGTGGGGTGCACTGCAGCCATGAGAATTAGAATCCCAGGACTTCCTTTCTTTGTATCTTCAACCTGGGCCATTCTTTTGCATGAATACAATTTGAGGAAATTATGTAGCAAAGTTTTAGAAAGCATTTACAGAAGCTACGTTCTGATAAAAACAACCACAATAAAAACTAGTGATCTAAAGTTTACTATTCAAAGTGGAACTTAAAGAGTTAGTGTGAATTATATCATTTTCTTCTTCAGCCTTTTCATTCTGTCATTTCAACAAAGCTGAAACCTCTGAAAACGATTAAAGTCGTTTAGAGCTTGTTTTTGAAACATTAAACCAAAGTCTTTCAACGGCGAATAAATAGCAGCTTC